CATGGCTTGGGGTGCACACAAGCAGGCCTTTGTGCTCCTCCCTGGTGACTCTGGCTTAGGGGCAGGCAGGAGCTTTAAAACACCCTCCCATGTGTGTCCTTTGTCATACCGAGGCCTCACGTGTCCTGCAGGCTTCTGGCCACAGCCAAGAGAACATGGCCAGGACTACCGTGCCTGGACATGTGGTTGGACACGTGTGAGTTCCAAGATGTTAATGACCATGACGTCTGGTGGGGTCCTGCTAGGAAGTGGGGTTTCTGGGTGAGCCTCTTTGGAGTTTAGCTCATCTTTTGCAGTGTGTTTAGTTTGCACTTCCCCAGGAGAAAAGTGGAGGAAGGCCTGGCTTTGGAGAGGCAGACGATCTCGCAGTGGCTGTAACCTTGAGACCGTCATGGGATGCTGTTCCTGCCGCTGCGGAGAGCTCTCCTTGCTATGTGGGCTGCATGCTGAGCCAGAGGCAGACAGGAAATGTCTGAAAGGACAGTGGGGGTGGGACTTCATCCTCTCCAGCGCAGACTTCTGGAGATCCAGGTGCTGAATCGGTTTGAGCAGAGACAAGGTTTGGGTTGGGCTCCACATGGCGTTGGGCTAGCCCAGCTCCTGCCACCCCGGGTTCCTTCATGGCTGATCTGCGACGGACCGGCTCGGCCGGAAGCAATCAGTCCGACGGGAACAGGACCCCAGGAATGGTGGACAAGGATTCGGCGAGTGACATGATCATCCACAGAAAAGCCAGCCAGCATCGCCAGAGACTGGAGACACACTATTTCTACTTAGAAGTCTGTGTGTCACTTCATTCCTTTGTTCGAGAAACACTTAGTGAGGTCTTGCCTGAGATGCAGCAGTGTGCACTGCCTGCATAGGCCCTGCCTGCATAGGCCCTGCCTGCATGGGGCATGCTGATGGGGGGAGGGAAAACAGAAAAACCCCTGGAGACCTGCAGGCTGGGGCCGCACAGGCCCTGACCTCTGACCCTTGAGAGAAGCCTGGCTTTGCATTCATCCCAGGCCAGCTTTCAGTTTGGTTTTCCACTGAGAAGGTCAGTGTTTGAGTACTGCACAGGTGCCTGTTACAGGCAGAGCGTGCTGCTGTTAGGTGATGACCACCGACCACCCGCCCGCTGCTGGAATAATATCAGCAAGTTGTTCAGAGTTGTAATGGAAGCTTTATTGGAAAATCTGCTCCTGGGCCCCCTTTGTGTAGAGGGGAAGGAAGAGGGACGCAAAAAGGGCATCTGAGATACGTGTGGAGGAGTTTTATACCCCTCTAGACACGTGGGCAGGCAAAGGGGCTGTCCATGCCCCAACTATGTAAGGAATGTCCATTCAGGTGTGCCATTGGTCAACTGGAATCCCGCCAGGTCGATGATGTAACTGGCTCCTGTGGCCCCTCCTGTTCCAGGCTGAAGCCTGGGAGACATGCCGGTCCAGAGCAGACCAGCCCCTCGTCTCCAGTGCCCTGGGCAGCCATCAGCTGCAAGCTGCGGGAACATATCCCTGTCACTAAGGGCAAGATGGGTTTCCATGCCACATTTTAGGTGCAGTTGGGAGAGAAACATTCCTGGGGAAGCCTGAAGGGGAAGCCCTGCCCTGTCTAGCTTGGGGTGTTGGAAGTTTCCAGATGGTGGTGAGGGTTGAAGGCTGAGCCCAGGTCAGTCCAGTGAGGTGGGAAGCGATAGACTGGAGAAGCAACCGGGCCTCAGGGAGGCGGCAGTGTTGGGGCTGCTGCTCCAGGGGTGGTGTGGATGGCCCCAGCCTGCTATGCCAAGAGGTAGGGCAGGCTGCTGAGGTTTTGGGCACTGTGACTGGCCTGGGGGTGACATGGAGTGCAGGAATCCATCCTGTGCTGTCACATGCAGGATGGAGGCCAGGGTGCCCCACTGGAGACCATTGTGACTACCTGATGGATCCAGGGGATAGTGGCCATCGTAGGTGACTTATTGCAGGCTGGGAGTCTGACACTGTAAGGTTGATGACTAGGGAACATTAGAGAAAAACCCCGGGTCATTCCGACTTGGAAAACAAGGGCATTGCAATGCCGCTCACTTTGAGGTGGCTTCTATGGGAGATGCCAGCTGGGGTAGCATCCTGGGTCCAGCAAGATACAGGAAGAGAATGCTCAGCGTGAGACGTGGGGTCCAGGAGGCCTTTGGCGCAGGTGGTGGTTCTGGACAGAGTGTGCCCCTGGGGTGCACGCAGGCTACTCCACGCTTTAAACATTAGTCAAGAGTTTCTGCCCTCAGTCCCCTCTCCCTCCCTAGGGTTCCCACCCTGTGGCCTCAGCTCCACAGAACCCTCTGCATTAGACTTAGCAGTACCAGCAGTAGGAGGGGGACCCCTAACGGACTCTGACCTCAAACACCAGGCCAGGGTCTCAGCTGTGACCCAGGCAGTGCCTCAAGTCCATGTGTGTCGACATAGGGTTCTGCAGCAGAGCCAAGCCTTTTGGCAAATGCTGACTAACTTTGGGGGAAGTCAGCTACTCATCTCCGTCTCTCTCTGCAGGGTGGCTTGGGGTACAGCCTGGCAGCGGGTGCTGGGCTTCATCTGGCAGGATGCAGGACAGATCCTGACCTGGGTGTTTGACACAAGATCAGATCTCTCAAGTTATGGCTTTTGTGGGTTACTATCAGTAGGTGCAGTAAGCAGAATGTCTCAGTGTTTCAAGTACTTTGGAAGTGCCTTCCAGGAGCAATTACAGATGATCTTGAACTTGGAGCTGAGACTTTTGTAAGTGACAGAACCCAAATCGACTGAGCTCTTGGCAGGGCTCCTAAGCAGCCACCGTGTGGGCATTCTCTGGACCAGGTGCCCACCAGGGCTGCCAGGCTGCCAACGGAGCTTGGTGGCCCTTAGGCTGTGGGTATATTAGTAGAAAGCTGGATGAGAAGCCAAGGTGTCGGGATCTGTTCCTAGGGGTGTGGTCTTCCCAAGAGGTCCGAGCCACTGCAGCACAATGCCTGCCCCACCCCCAGGAAACTTTAAAAAAAAAAAAAGGAGGGGGCAGGCCACCTGCATCCCATATCAGCCCGGGTTCAGGTCCCTGCACATTTTCTTCTAACGCACCCCAAGGTGGCAGGCCCGTTGGGAGAGGCTTTACAGAGTTGTCAGCTCCTAGCTTTGCCCTGGCCCAGCCTGAGCTTTTGAGGCTGTTTGGGCAAGGAACTGGCAGCTGAGAGCGCGGTCTCTGGTCTTGCAGTAAATCAACACATAGTGACAATACTGACCATGCACGCAACCCTCGTCTGGGCTCCTTCTAGATGATCCCACTTGGCAACAATGATCCAGTTTCTGTGGATGAACACACAGCTCAGGGAGATGAACTGACTACCACTGGGTTTTGGCCCAGCCAGCCGGATTCCTGTTCTCTGCCTTAAATCCTTTATGCTACCTCTCGAATTATGTTCCTTGATTGTGAAGATAAATCTGCCAACTGAAAGAGGAGTAGAGCACTTAGAAATGTGTGAGTCCGTGATAATGTCAGCGTCCGGGCCTTGCCGCGCTTAATGTTTTGCTGCATCTTTTCTGGAGTTTTCTCTGCTCGTGTCAGGACTGCATTTCCAGTGGCTGTCAGATTCCATTGTATGGATCAGTGGTTTGCTTACTCCAGTGCTTATCCTGCGACAGCTCCCATGACAGCTTGATCAAACTGTGGCCTCCCTCTCTGCTCCTCCTCTCGCCTTACCTGAATTTCCTTTGGGGGAGGGGATAAGGATCACCTGATAATTTATTGGCAATTCCACAAGTTCCACCCCCTCTTGGTGGAATCACTTTAGAATCAAAGTGATATTATTTCTTCCTTCCAGATATGCACACAAATTCAGAATTTTTCAAATATGCTCATTCTGAAGTAAAAATGGCAGAGCAGTATTGTGGAGTAAAACCAGTGTTCCGATTCCAGCATCCCCTAGGAGCACTGGCTGCTTCCTTCCCATCCAGCTCCCTGCTAACCTCCTGGGGTAGCAGTCAGGGATGGCCCAAGTGCTACTACCCATGTGGGTACCCAAATGAAGCTCCTGGCTCCAGGATCCATCCTGGCCCAGCACAGGCTGTTGTAGCCATCTAGAAAGTGATCTGGCAAATGAAAAATTTCTCTTCCTCTCTCTCATACACACATACACACACACACACACACACACACTCACTCACTCACTGTCTTTTTCAGATAAATAAAGCATACAATTAAATTACATTAAATTAAAAATAAAATAAATGGAATAGAAATGTCCCCTTGGAATGCACTGTCCAGGTGGTTGTTTTAGGAACAGTCCATTTATTTCTTTAAAGCAAGAGAAAGTTTGTTTGAAAGGTAGAAGCGGGGAGAGACAAAGAAAAAAAGAGAGTAAGCTTCCATGCATTGATTCACTCCCCATATGGCCCCAGTGGCCAGTGTTGGGCCAGGCTCAAGCCAGGAGCCTGGAACTCCCATCTGGGTCTCCCATGTGGATGACAAGGGCCCAAGCATTGGGGCTGTGAGTGGGGAGCTGGATCGGTAGAAGAATGACTGGGGCTCAAGTAGGTGTTCCCATGGGATGCTGGTGTTAGGCAGTGGCTCAGCCTGCGGCAGCACAGTACCAGTTCCCATCACTCCATTTTTCAGACAAAACACTTGGGACTGGGTGTGTAGAAAGAAAAAGTCCATTTAGTTCACAGGTTTGGAAGCTGAAAGTCTGAGACCAAGTGGCCTCTGGTGAGGGCCCTTGGCTACATCCCAGCATGGCTGAGAAGCACAAGGAGAAACAGCTGTGCAGAGAGGTGGGAGGAGGTGCTTGGGTGGCTTTGCTTTCATGAAAACTCACTGCAAGAAATCACCGCTGATCTTCCCTAGTGTGGAGTCCCTGCAACCCAAACTCTCACCTTCCAGAGTTCCCCACTTCTAGGTCCTGCCACCTGTCCCCTGCCCCACTGACAATGACTAGGCTTCTGACACATGAACTGTTGGAGACATGCTTACGTTCCGTGCAAACCCTAGCAAGCAGTAATGTCATTTCTCCCTGACAGGTCAAGTGGCTACAGCAACAGACGGTGAAGCGCAGGGTGAAGAGACAGGTGCGGAGCGACACGCAGACCCTTTATTTCAATGACCCCATTTGGTCCAACATGTGGTACATGGTGAGTGGGGGCCCCAGCTTGCAGGGGGGTCATGTAGCTCCCCAACACAGCCCCAGCTTCTCATGACTTCTGCCTATAAGTCTGGACACCATGAGAGCTGCCTCGGGAGTTTTCTCTGAAATTGAAGTAGCCTGGGTGGCTCTCCTTAGACAGAGAAGTCATTTGGTGTAGAACTAAGCAGGCAAGTTGACACCCTCACTGATGGGAGGGGAGAATGACAGAAGTGCCAGGTGCAGAAAAAGCAAGAGAAACCCTTCACTTTGTACCGCCTGTGTGTTGGGAGGGGAGGAAGAGGTGGGGCTGGGGTCTCCTCGTATTGATTGGCAAACATAAGGCCCTGTCTGTGGGTGTGCCCCGGGCATCTGTCTGCAGAGGGTGCATGTCAAGGCATTGTGGGGTGGGGGGCTTTGTGTGGTCTGTGCACGTAGCACTGTGGCGACAAGAACAGCCGGTGCCGGTCGGAGATGAATGTGCAGGCAGCATGGAAGAGGGGCTACACGGGGAAGAACGTGGTGGTCACCATCCTGGACGACGGCATAGAGCGGAATCACCCTGACCTGGCCCCCAATTATGTAAGTCAAGCCCCTGTGCTGACAGGTGCACACTGTCAACTGGGCTGGTCCCAGGATGCCTTTCAGGTGAATTAAGAAACCCATAGTCAAGATGGGCATTGTAGGGCTTTAGTGATAGGGGCCATCATCATAGGGTTAAGACATGGGCTGCCTGGGCTCGTCGCACAACTCGGGGACCTTGAGCAAACCGATGACCTTTTTGTGCCCAGCTGCAGGATGGGGTCATATAGGAGGTTATTTCCCAGCATTATGGTAAGGATTCATGGCGCTTATAAGGGTGGAGAAGAGAACCTGGCACAGGGCAAATAGGAGAAAATCATTAGATGTTCTCAGGAGCCTGCGGCCAAGAGGGGCTGAGTATACCACATCAGGTCCATTTGACATCCGCAGAGGGAGCCCTTTGTGGCGAGTTTTGAAGTCTATGCCCACCGCACCAGACAGCTTTTCTGATCTGATGTGTTTTAGAAGGCAGACACACAGCCCTGTGATCACTGCTATTCAAAGATGTGAGCAAATGAACAAAAAGTGAAGGAAATTCGTCCGTCTGTGGACACGTGGATGGGTTGGTTGGACATGCTAAGGGAGAGACGCCATCACTCCCCAGGACAGAAGCTGTGAGATTCCAGCCATGGGGCAAGGGGTAGAGTGCTGGCCGCCAGGGGCTGGGGAGGAGCGGTGAGAGCAGAGCTCCAGTTTTGCAGGTTTAAGAGTTCAGGAAACAGGGTGGTGGTGTTTCCATTTCAGTGAGAACATGCTTTATGCCACCAAGTTGTGCACCTGTAAGTGACTGAGATGGCAAGTTTTATTCATAAGGGCTTTACCACAGTGAAAAAAAAAGTTGTGAATGTGGATGGATAAAGTCAGGGGAAAACCCAGAGTGTGGTTTCCTTTATTTTCCAAGAGAAGCCTTTAAAAAAAAAATCACAGAAGACAGATTTGTGTAAGTGCTGGGTCATTTCCCCACTCTCACTGTGGCTTCATTGGTAGGATTCCTACGCAAGCTATGACGTCAATGGAAACGACTATGACCCATCTCCACGATATGACGCCAGCAACGAGAATAAGTATGTCATTCTGGACCCTCCTCCATGTCCTCCTGGCTCGCCCCGCCCCCAGCTGCAGCTTGCATGTGACAGTCCCAGATGTAGCACAGGCTGAGGCTGCTTCCCTGCCCACCCCAACACTGTCCATTGGGCTTCTACCAGGAGCCAGAAGCTGTGTCCACACAACCCTGCAGGCCACGAATGGAGGCGTCTCTGGAGCCAGCCTCTTCCTACAGTGGTGTAGCTCCTGTGGCTCAGCTGGAAATAGAAACTGTTCCAGTGTCTGGCTGTGTTGGAATAGAGAAAGTTGAGGGGTCTCTGGGGCTGGCTGAGCGAACAGCCATGGTGTGCTGGAGCGCACAGGCCTGAGCATTACTGGTCCCATCCTTGACCTCAGGAGCTGCGCAAAGGGGCCTGAGTGCTGCTAGCCGATGCCTAGCTCTGCCATTCCCTGGCTGGAGATCCGTGCCCATTGGGGGACATTGTAGGAGTCATCTTAGAGACCGCCCAAGAAGGGGGGATAGGCAAGAAGCCCACCAAGTGGCTGTCAGGGCACCACGGGGATTGTTGTTGGACAGTCCAGGCCCTGGATACTCATGCATGCTGCTGGCTGGACCCTCTGCCGGGCAGGAGATGGGGACAGGGGGGCATGCCCTGAGCCCTTAGTGTTCTTCCAGAAACAGCAAGAGAAGCACCTTATTCTGGACCAGGCGCTTGCCTGGCTCAACCTGCAGGCTGCCCTGCTTCTAAACCTTGCATGCAAGGTGTGGCATGGTGTCCGGTTGGGGAGAGGCCCTGCTGGGCTGCAGTGTCCCGGGAGCCAGCAGAGGCTGTGGCCTCACGTCTCAGGGTGCCCTTGCCGCCCCACAGCAGGGGAGGGCATGGAACAATGATCCGGATTCCAGGCAGTGACCCTTGAAGGGCAGGATCGAATCGAGCTGTGTGCCCTGTGACCAGCGCCGGCCCTGGGGCCGAGCCCAGTCACCGAGGACAACAGCCTTGCCCTTCCAAAGCGCTGTGAAGGCAGCTTTAAATTTGAATCGATGACTCCAATCCCCATGGGCTCTTTACAGCCACGCACTGTTTAAATTTGCCCATATTTTTGGCCTCCATGGAAGGAATTGACTTGAGGTGGCACATTGAACATGGACTCATTACTGAAGATAGCCATTTGTTATTCTCGTAATTTCTTCACGGTCTCCCTCTCCTCCCATCCCCCGCCCTCCGCTGGTGCAGAGCATCAAGCTTAGAGCTGCGTGCTTGGCTGCTGCTTAGCTAGCAGTGGCAATGCTGAGGCGATTGTCCCCAGGGGCAGTGTAGTGCCATAGCAACACAGGGGACATGACCTGAGACTTTGGTGCCAGTTGGTTTTTTCTTTCAGATAGACAGGTACTGATGTCACACCTGTTGGTGTCAAGCGATGTGTTGATAGTCCCCTTGTAGGAACGTGGCCAAGGGTGCCGGGAGCATGTGCCTCTAACCCCTGCTGCCCAGGGGCATGCCCCTTGCCGGATCCAGGAAGGGCTGTGCCAAGCCTGGCTTGGTGCTGTCTCCAGGTGCACAATGATGGTGATGGAAAAGGATGCAGATGTTAGGTTGGGGTGCTTACAGATCCCCAGGAATTACCAGGACTGGGCCCTCACCTTGTTTTCTCCTTTGCTTCAGACATGGCACTCGCTGTGCGGGAGAAGTTGCGGCTTCTGCAAACAATTCATACTGCATTGTGGGCATAGCATACAATGCGAAAATTGGAGGTAAGCCTGGGGTATGCGCAGCTGGAGAGCTGAGGGTCTGGGGGCCCCGAGCACCTCTCCTGTGGGCTCAGTGGGCTCAGTGGCCTCATGGTCGTGCCAGAACCTGGGGCCAGCAGCTGCAATGCCATGTGTGCCATTGCCTAGACGGTAATTTCTCTCCATTTCACCTGAGCAGTCTCTGCCTCCCCCCCACCCCCACAAAACCCCCTCTGGACCTGCTAAGCTGGCCTCTACCTGGCAGATACCCCAGTAAACAGCCACATTGGCTCTCTGCTGCCACAAGCCCTTGGCCTGCTCTGTGTCCTCTCATCTAAAGTTTCAATCTTTTCCTTTCCAAGTCCCGACTCCCACGCCAGCCTGTTCACCTGCTTCTGCTGCCCCTGCCTTCTGCTTTAGCTGGGAATGATGCTGGTGGGAGCAGAGGAGAGCTGCCAGGAAGCTCCAGTGACTGCCAATAGCACCTGGGCAGCCCGGCCGCACTCAGATAGGTGGCTGCTGCCGTGCCTTCCGGGGATGGCTGCAGCCCCTCCTATCCCTTCGCAGCCCCTGGTAGCCCCACAGCAGGAATCACCAACAGCCTGAAGAGCAGAGGTTGGCCCAGGGGCTTCCTGGAACCCACATCCTTGGGGACTTTCTTGAGTTGTGTTTAGATAGCAGATCCCGGGCTTTTGCACATCTTGCCCTGGGTGACCTTTAGAATGGGCAGGTGTTGTGGCTCCATAACAGGTGTTCCTCTCATCTTCCACGGGCATGTTCCGGAGTCTTGGTTAGAATCAGGAGTCTTAGCTAAGGGCCTCATTCTTCTGGAGATGTGCGGGTTCTCCCAGGAGCCTGGACAATGAGGAGGACCCCCTCCCAAAGGGCTGCAGAATCGAGCTGGCACAAGCACCAGACCCATCACCACCACTCACCAGCTGTGTACCCTTGAACAATGCACAGAACCTCTCTGGGCCGAGCCTGCTGACTGCCCAGGTTAGGCATGGCGATGCAGCCAGACGCCAATGTGAGAGTACTGGCTGGGAGCTCAGCTTGTCTCCCCTGTGGATGCTCCCAGAAAGGAGAACGAACATTTGCTCTGAGTGAGGGGCTGGACAGCAGCTGTGGGCTTGCAGGAGTTAGCTTTCTGTCATTTTAATACCATGAGAATATCTCAGGTGGGACAAGCTTGAGGGAGCCTGGGACTGAGGCTGGACCACTGGAATGTGGCTGTGACCTTGGCCTTGACTGAGGCCGAGTGATAGACTGAGGCTTCCGTGTTGTGATATACTGTCAGCCCATCAGCCCCCATACAGGCAGCCACACCTCCCTCCAGCCTACCTGCCAAGCCCACCTAAGTGTGGCACAGTGTTTGGGTGGGCCAGCCCCAGTGTAGCACAGCCTCTGCATCTGAGTAGGCTGGCACAGGCAGGGAATCTCTCCCAGATACCCCTAGGGCTGACCATGGAACTAGCTTTTTTGTTGTTTTTCCCTCCCTCTCTTCCTACCTTCTTCTCTTTCTCTCACTCTTTCTCTCTCTTTCTGCCTCTCTCCCCCTTTCCTTCCCTCCCTCCCTCCCTCTCTCCTTTCCTTCCTTCCTTCCTTCCTTTCCTTCTTTAATTATTGCTCAAGTAAGGCTATGATCTTGGTCCTAACTTATCCCAGTCTCTCTGGGATGCATAGTACAGGTTCATTATCCCTTACCCCAAATTCTTGGGACCAGAAGTGTTGTTTTAGATTTCGGATTTTTTTTTTTTTAGATTTTGGAATCTTTTCATATATATAAATAAAATACGTTGGGCATGAGACCCAAATCTAAACATAGACTCCACTTCTGTTGCATAGATAAGCTATCCACATAGAACGAAGGTCATTTGCTATGTTCTTAGTGCACCTGCCTTTTGAGGGGGGCCCATCATAGGAGATCAGATGTGGCGTTTTCCAATTGCAGTGTCATGTCAGTCCTCAAAGAAGTTTTGGATTTTGTCTAACTCGTGTACTGTTGTATAGGTAATATATGAATCTTAGGCAGAGGAGTTCAGTTCACACTCTATCCTTGGCGCTGCTGTTTATGTATTTTACTTCATATGTTCTAAAACCACTGCACGGTGCTGTTTTTCTTGCTTTAAATGCTCAGTAGGCTGTAACCTATTTACCCACCTCTATTCCACTCCCACGACTCTGACCTTTCCCAGCATTAGATTTACATCTTGTTTCCATTTTCTTGAGCCTGGAGAATTTCTTTCAGTTTTTTTTTTTTTTTCTTTGTAGTTTGGGCATCCTGGTGAAAGGAATTCTCTCAGGTTTATTTGTAACGATCTCTGTCTTCATTTTTGGAAACATTTTTGCAAAGCCTAATGTTCTGGAGTGAGATATTTTTCTCTGAACAATTTTAAGCCGCTGTTCCATTGTCTTTTGGGACCCATTGTGCCTTGTGCTGAGTCAGCCATCGCCCTTGTATCTTTTACGTATTGGGATTTGAGGATTTTTTTAAATATAGTTGGTTTTTTTTTTTTAATGTGCCTTTGAATACAATACCCTTTTTTGCGTTTTTCCTTATATGATTCTAGCTTGGGGCTTGCTCTGTTTCTTAGTGGACTCATTTTCCCCCTTGAATTTGGAAAAAAGTGTTAATCTTTCTTAGCTTTTTTTCATTCCACCTTGACACCAGTTGGTTGTGGGTAGACTGCTTGAGAAACCTCACGGTGTCTCTGTTTATTTTTTAAATCCTTTGTTTCTCTCCATGCTTCAAGTTTGATGATTTTTATCAAACTTTCTTCAAGTTCATAAAAACTTCTTTTATTATTTGAAAGGAAGAGTCACAGAGAGAGGAGAGCCATAGAGAATCTTCCATCCGCTGGTTCACTCCCCAAATGGCCACCTCGCCCAGAGACCTAGCCAGTGATATCTCTAAAACCTTGTGGATTGCACATTTCTGTCTTACGATTTCCATTTTTCTTTTTATTGTTTCTAAAGCTCTCCTGGGTTTCCTTGTCTCCTCACCCATTACATCTGTATTTAAGTTCCTTAACATGCCTAGAAGAGATGAAGTCTTTTTGTACTGATTACAATGACTGGGTCATTTATGGGTAAGTTTCCAGTGATAAATTTTGCTCTTTATAATTAGGTGGCAATCACTTACAGGTCCAGCAATTATTACACCTTTGCCCTTGTTTGGCTGCATGGTAGAATCTCTTTATGGCTGAGTTTATTTGAACTTGTATTATTCATGGTTTTAATGCTTGGCTTCTGATTTCCTCTTAGTCTCAAGAAATAGACCTTAGCCCGGACACATAGCTCTGTTCCTGTACCACGACACCTGTGCTTTTTCAAGGGCGTGTTTGCCAAGACCTGTAACTGAGCCTGGCAGAGCCCAGACTGAGTGCCCTGCAGTGGGCAGCAGTTGAAATATCTGCTCAACTCCTTCAGCTCTTCAGCTCTTGTTTCCTCTCAGATTTGTTAGCTTTGTGCCCAGACATGTAAAGGTCAGAGGTCAGCCAAGGGATTTCAGGGAGTTTGCATGTCCTCTCTCTTCTGAGGTTTTGCCAGATCCCCAGCTTCTCCTGACCGGCTGGGGAGAATGAAGAGGACATGTTCCTAACTGACTTTTACTCTCTGCCCGGGGAGTGGGGCACTCCCTAGGGGACAAGTCCCATGACTTGGATCAGTCCCACAACACCTCCCTTCTTTGGAGGACACACCTCACCTTGTGCTTCTTCTTTCTTTGGGTTACCCTCCAGTACCCTCAAGCTACGGTTGTTTCAAATAAATATTGTTTTCAGAGTTTATGATGGTTATCTTTAGAAGAGTTAGTCAACTACGAACTACTCTGCCATTGTTGGAGCTAAAGCTTGCGGTTTATGTTTCTGTACCAATTTGGTTGTGCATCAATTCTCCATGGCTCCATGACTGTCATTCCAAGGGACACTTATAGTAACAGACATTCAGTTTTAGCACAGGGCCGGGCCAAATGGCTCTGGCCCAGTGGCTGTGAGGGCATTGAGAAAGCTTAACCCGGGCTGGAGCATCTACTTCCACATGGGGTCACAGATGTGGCTGCTTGCTGTGCCTTGGCTCCTTGCTGGCTGCTTTGAGTTCTCACCATGTGTGCCTCTGTGCCTAGTGTGGTCCACGGGTCCCCATCCGCTGGAGCTAGCCTCCCTCACTGCAGATAGTCCCAGTTGAGGGGAGCAGGGAGGACTAGTCCCAGAGTCTCACCCCATCTCCTCCACCACCCTGTTTGTTACACAGACACAGTTTACTGTGTATCTAAGGAGCAGGAAGTCTGGCTCCATGCTTTGACTAGGAAAGTGTACAAGAATTTGTGGACACATTATAAAATCACCTAAAACGTGGACCGCATGCTTGTGTAGACAGAATTTAGCTTGCTCTCTTTGTAATATTGCACAAGTTTCTTACGTGTTTTATTGTATAAAAATACTTCAATGAAAGATATAGTGCAACTGTTCAGCACAGTGTCCCTAGGGGTGACTCCTACCTTGTGGGGAATGGGTGGGGAGGGTTCTCCAATCCCAGGAATCTGCAGGCCTGCATGCTGTCATCTTTGCGTTCTGAGAGGAGAATGGGGGTAGTCCCTGGTAAATTGCATTTTACGGAAGTTTAATTTTTTATGACATCTCCAAGCTGCACATTGAATTTTTAATTTTTTCCTACATGTAGCATTTTATTTTAAAAATCTGGTTAGAGTTGTTATAATATCAAGTTTGTTCTCTTTTCTTTATGACTCTGGGGTTTAAGATCCAGCTTAGAAAACCCCAAGTCTGTTTTCCTGGTTTTATTTTATTTATTTATTTGAAAAAACAGTGGTTTGTGAACAATAGTTCATCTTAAAAGTTGGATGTTTTTGTCATTCCTGCTTAGCTTTTTAATCCATATGGAATGTTTTTCTGTGACTGATGGGAAAGAGAAATCTGATATCTTTTTTTTTTCTTTTGAAAATTTTTATTTTTATTTGAAAGGAAGATTTACAGAGAAAAAAAAACAGAGAAGGAGCTTCCATCTAT